CGGTTATAATAGATTAAATTAATCCATTTAGATTGCTTTAAATATGTCTTACTTTACCCCGCATTATCAACACTAATCATCTATCTAATTAGTCTATCTTTTCTCGTCTTACAAAAAAGACAGCTAAATGTGATAAGACATGAACAGAAGTAACAGAACAGTAAGTCAAAAAAAGTATTTTATAAGCTTTAACTAAGTGCTAATCATGAAGGTCACGAGACTGACTTTGAAAATGATTATGACGACGATGGCACTGATAATACAGTTGCGGTCAGTAGCAACAGAGTGACCACTACTGCTACCATCTGTACCACTCGCATCATCGTCACCTTCGACATCTGATTCTGCATCATCACCGTCGTCACCAGCAGAACCACAACAGCATCTTCTTAACCACTTTAATGGTTCAGTAAAACATTTAAGATATTTGTCAAGACCCGAGACCATAGTAACTCGATAAAGTGATAACAAAAGTGACAATGCAAAATATAAGAGAAAGACGAATAAATAAATAAACAATTTTCTTTTCTTCTTTACTTCAGCTCATCTTTCGTCTTATAATAAAAAAACTACATAATGCTTACCTAATGAACACACTGTGTTTTAAAACTACAACAACAAAGTCTGTTACATCGGTTTCGCTTCTTTTTGGCTCTGCTGCTCGGTCTTCAAGATTCTGCTTTCCACCAAAAAAGGTAGAAAATAAATAAGCAAAAAAAAGTTCCGTTTATAAAGTCTAATAAATTGGATCTCAATAACAATTAAGTAAAAATATTTTTTTCGGCTTTATCGTCATTTTCTGTTTCATTTTTGTTGTTATTTATAGTTACAAAATTGCGTTATAATGTGCAGTCTTGTTCTTCTTTTTACTAGTTTGTCTGCTTCTTTTTTTCTTCTTTGACCATAATTCTTAATGCGGTTATTAGATTAGAAAATAAGTGTTAAGAATCCCTGTATTATTACTGCTCATTAGCGACAGGTAAATTGCGTACAATTGGTGGATGAATATAGGAAAACTGGAGAGAATAGAGTAAAGATGTAAGCAGTGAAGAGGAAGATTTTGATGACACATTGCGTAAAGGAAAATTTTGAAATTGTCCGTTAATAATCAGATACTTCTGATAAGCGGATTTCAACCAAAAACAATAACGCCGGTAAACAATAAAAAAACTCATATTTCTGGTTTCTTTTTCTATAATACAAAAAAATTTGTTAATTAAAAGTAAATCGTCGAAAAAAAAAACAGTTTGTTTTTATCTCGACATTACCGGATTCCCT